TTCTCTGACGGACGATGAGATTTATTTTTAGCGTTAAGAAATGTCTAATTCCCTAAGAAAATCCATTTCTTCCTGGATCTTACGTATCCTCAGAAATGTGTTTGAAAAAGAACTCACAAAATTTATCTAAAATAAAAGACGTTTTATGTAGTAAAAAATTACAGATACAGTGCAATTTCATACCTTAAAAAAAAAAAAAGAAAAAGACGCATCCTCAATGGAAATGTATATCTCCACGCATTCTATGCATACTTTGCGTTGTTTCGTCCTTAAATTTTCCATAAATGCATAAAAATCCGCGGTCCACTTATAAATATATACACGCAGCGCGCGCTCTATCACTGAATTTATGTAACCTTGTTACACCCGTGGGAATCGCAATATCAATAAAGTTTCGGAATTGTTTTTGGAAACGTGCCTCCGGAGCGCCGGTAAAATGGTTCAAGATTGAGAATTGAAGCTTTTATTATATATCGTCCGCCGTAGTTCTCCGAGTAAGCAACGTGCATGTGTCCCATTGTTATCCTTATTGCTCAAATCTTGAATAAAGGACAGCATGTTGCAACTGCGAGGGTTATTACCTATATGCCGTGCAGCTATCTTATCTCGAGCGAGAAACTTCCGAAACCAGAAATGCAGGAATGCACGTCATCCTGAGGGAAGTTAAGGATAAATGTATCGCCTATGTTAATATTTGCCATCGTTCAATATACTGCTTTCTCCGCGTCCTCTCCCCCGACGATAAATCTTTCCCGACTCACATCGATCGTAATTTGTTGCGCATTTTTACCAAACGAACGACATTTTGAAAGAGAGAGAGAGAAAAAAAGGAAAACATTCAGTTCTCAACATTTACACTCGCAGCGGAACTCGCATTGACTCTGTCATATTTCTGTTATTTCATGGTAATGGTATGAAAATCTTGAAAAGATCTTGATTTTCATACGAAGAATGGACAGGCACGTGGAGAGTCACGAAGTTTCGAACTGAAATGGAAATTGCGCTGAAAGCTGAGTATTTTGGGGGAAACGATCTTTGACAAAATTTTATTTTCATTTGACGAAAGTTTATTCAACAATTCTAAGTACGAGCATCAAATGTGGAGTAAAAGATTCTTCGTTCTAGTCTCATATTTGGTTCAGTGCGCACGCATCAGAGGCGTGTAGACGGGATCTCGAAATTTCGAGTATTCGAGTTTCAAGTCGAATCGGGTCGAGTAACAATCGAGTCGGGTCGGGCGAGATTCCAAAGTTTGTCCGAGACGCAAATATTTCTTCCGGCAGACATAACTTGGCGACTCGAAACTCGAATTAGAAACCGAACCTTCATTTTCGGGATCCAAAACTCATTCAGACAGTGTGAGAGAACTCGCGCTTCGTCGAATGATTAAGATAAACATTACATTTTCATGTCCACGTTTTCTCATCGCATAAATACGTTACGATACTCGATAATTCCGACACTCGACATCTTTTATTCTACTTATAAGACCCGATATTGGATTCCATTGACTCCATGTTGCATTCGAGACTCAAATCGCGATTCGAAATTGGATTCGAGATCTGAAACCAGATCGTTTGAAACCGGATACTGGATTCAGTGTACGAAACTCGAGACCTTGTTCTGGATTCGGTGAGAATTAGGCAAGATCGTGAATGATATAGTAACATATAAATATCCAAAGACGAGACAATTTCTTATTTAAATTCTATTTTTTTTCAGTTGTATTCACGAAAATCTAAAAGTGCATCAAAAGTCCAATCTCCGTGAAATTACAATTAAACAACGAGAATTTCATTTTCTTGTCAATGTTATGAACACAATTATACCACCATTGGAAATTCAAATAAAATAAATACAATGTTCTAAATGCAATTATAAATTGTAATATTATAAATACAATTATACAAGAATTTAATTCGCTCGTCACTATTGTAAACACAATTGTACCAGCATTAGAAATGAAATATTATAAATTACAATTGTAACAATTGTAATTACAATTATAATATATTACAATTGTAAACTATAATATTATAAATACAATTGTACAAGAATTCAATTCGCTCGTCACTATTGCAAACACAATTATACCAGCATTAGAAATGAAATATTATAAATTACAATTGTAACACTTGTAAACTATAATATTATAAATTACAATTGTAACAATTGTAAACTATAATATTAGAAATACAATTGTACAAGAATTCAATTCGCTCGTCACTATTGTAAACACAATTATACCAGCATTAGAAATGAAATATTATAAATTACAATTGTAACAATTGTAATTACAATTATAATATATTACAATTGTAAACTATAATATTATAAATACAATTGTACAACAATTCAATTCGCTCGTCACTATTATAAATACAATTACCAGTATTAGAAATACAATATTATAAAATACAATTATATTCATTTGCAATTGTATTTAATATAATCCATATCGCGATCAATTATAGTTACAAAGATATTTACGAGTTGGTGGAGAATTTTCAAATTCGTGCGGGAAATGCGGGAGAGATTTGGGCAGTGGGCGAGGAAACGACCGATCGGTGGTGTACAATGTTCGCGAGAGAGAGAAAGAGAGAGAGAGAGAGAGAGAGAGAGAGAGATTTAAGCTGAAACGAAAGTTATTGGCGTGGTGCAATTGTTCCGCTTTAAGTATCACCTCGCATTAGCAAGCGACGAGAAGGCGGACAATTTAAATTATAGGTATGCTCGACTGAGGCTGCTCTCCCTTATCGCATTAACGCGGGAATACCGTAAAATGCACAAGGCAAAGTACCTACCACGCCAAACCAACAACTTCCAGCGTAACCGTGTTCATTACGAAGAAAGATCTCGCCGAATTTCTCCATTTACATTCCGGCGTCGTGTGCGCGGCTCTTGGCACGGACGATTATGAGCTCCTGTTCCTGGATCCCCTTCCTTCGTCGATTAACTTATTTTCTTCGTAATCGTGTATCGTCTCTCGATAAAGATTATTCTCTCCCCTCGCGACTCGCTACGCTACCAAGTGGCATACCCAGTCTGCCCAGTTCGGCATCAGCTGAAAATGAACTTCCTCCCTCTCGCGAAACGTTATCCGCCAGTGCGGTTTAAAGTGTTATAATTGGATTTGCGGATCTTGCTGCGATTTCGTGTTTTTTCTTTTCTTTTTTTTTTTTCTCCTTTTTCACACGGGTAGAAACTTGTCCTCGCGATACAGGTGGATCAATTTCAATTTAGATCAGCGTCGTTAATTAAAACATTCTTGGGGGAACGGCTTGCACGAGAATATTGTCTCGAGAGTAACAAACTGGTTTGTTCCCGGGAGAATTTCCTTTTTTTTTTTTTTTGCATCCTTGGAAGTGCGTAAATTACGAGACGCGACGCGAAATTTCGAAATAGATACGGCGATTTTCGTGAGATACTCTGCCTTCGGCAGGTTACGCGAATAAAAATGGAAATTACACCGGAATTACACCGTTAAGTCGGGAAATTTCTCGCTGGTGGCTATATTGTTTTATTGTATAGCAGCAATAAGCGCAAATCGTGCGGTTCCGGTCGACATTATTTTGTACAGGTTGCGCCAAATGTTGCGCATGGTCTCGTTAGATTTGATGCGCGAACGTTCCTGTCTTCTAAATATACGCAGAAACGAGGCTGGCTGCCTGTTGAAATTGCCGCCCTGCGTGCAACGACCGCGACAAAAAAATTAAATATCTCTGTTTGAATATCTTTCGTCTACGGTCGAGTCGAAAACGAAAGCTGATGGGAAAATGGGGAACCAAAGCATCGTGCCAAGAGAGTATTTGTTTTCTGAATTGTAAATAGAGAAATACGAGCAAATGCTACAGTATTTCCACAATTTTGTTTCGTTGAAGCTCTTTGTGCGTGGTACAGTTTCATTGTGTTCTCATAAAGAATTCCAAAACGAGCTACATACATGCACGCAACAAGATATTTTAGTTGATCGTTTGTGTTTTCGTTTGAGAATGGTTAATTGAAAATTTTGGTTTTCTGAACTGTTGCGTTTCGCCAGTTGATTAATGTTCAAAGATAAGTAGAGCGACGGTCGATGCATTCTTGCCTTTAGATAGAAACGTCTAAGTGAATATTTATGTTTGGAAAATTCGGATAATTTGGTAATTTAATTTAATTTATGCCAGGGTTTATCGATGATCATTTGCTGTATCTCTAATGGCTCTCGCAGTCCAATAACTTCTCGCTACAACAAGAAATATATCTGATTTATGTATATATCAGTGGATTTTGGTCACCATAACAGTAAGATTTGATGCAATATTACTAGATCATAATACGATTGTAACACGACACTTTAATACAAGCGCAAATGAATTCAGTTGATTAAATGCACATAAAATCATAAACGAATGTAAAGTCAAAGATGCTTGACATTTATTGTTATTCTGACTATGAACAATTCATTGACAAAGATATATAAATAACGTATCTGTTAAATACGTGATTTTTAATGAGAATTTTTCTCGTATCAAAATTGCTTACTTTGGGAGAAGAACGTCAGAATTGAAATTCTGTATTTTACATACGAACATATACACGAACATTTCGTGTCTCTCTACTTTGTTATGTTAAAAATAAACAGAAAGAGGAACAGTGTGCTCGTCTTCCATTAACTTGAATTATACATGCTGGTAAATATTAATGGCCAATTTACAATTGATTGAACAATTAATTGAAACACTACGTTCCACAATAAAAATGCTTTTTAAAATTAAGCTTTCACGATTATATTTTCACCATTGATTGCTTTTCGTAACCGGTTGCATGGTCAATGACAGTTGCAAAATACGATACGCCATGATGCGTTGTATGTATTATACATATTCAAACGTGTTTTTTTTTTTTAACAGACGTTCGAGTCTTTTTCACGAATAGCTGTTTGAAATTGTACTTTCTACCGCAAATTTATATAATCGTCGTGGGACAGTGTTCGATTATTGAATAGAATAAACAATATTTCAGCATACAATTTATTTCGGTGTATAATTATTGATAATACTTAATTGTCGTTACGTTGCAGATTTATAACATGATGCACATAATAGTTCGTATAACTGCAAATTTCTCAAACTTCTCTGCCAGGCTGTAATGAAACAAATATTTCTTTTAAAATTCACGAGTTTGATTCTTTTTTTTTTTTTAAATAAAATTACATATTATAACATTATATCAAATTTGTACCATAGACATATTCCTGAGCCTGTAAAATTATATACTTTCAGACAATAAATTCGTGTGAATCACTTGAAAGAAACTTTTTGACTTTGAAAGTCACAGGTTATTTCAATGAATGATTGTAAGCGTTTGTTATTCAAATGTTAAAAAATACGTACTCTTAAACGGAATGGCCATTTAATTTTCGGATTGAATGGTCCGTGACCAGGGAATGTTGGAAACGGATGTCGTTGTAGCGGTGGTACATACTTTGGTGGTACATATGCAAATATCGCGCATATTGTGGCAAATAGTACGAAAATAAACGTCGTTACCTTCATTTTGTTTATATTTTTTCTGTAATTTGAAGAAATAATTATTTTCGGTAGCAGAATTTTTTTTTAAACATCGTAGCAGTTTTCCGTAGTAAAATTTCCTTTCGAGATTAAATTATTAAATACAAGTCTTTGCTATAAATTTTTAATAAATTCTGCGAGAAAAAATTCATACATGAATAAAATTACTGAAAATCTAATTTTACAAGATTCAAATTAGACTGTTTGTTGAAAAGAAACTTTGTCCTTTTCCTATGAATCAAAATTTCATAGAGCAGTCGAGTAATAAAATGTAATAATTTTTAAATAAATATATAAATACGGATTTACCTCTTAGCACGTCGCTTAGCTCTCTGCAGCTGCTGCGAAGATGTTTTATTTCGATATTGAGCGAACGTTCTTTATATATCGTGCAGAACTCACACGAATGGGTAATTTGCGTTTCACGTGTTATCAGCGGAATATGTATGCGTGTGTACATTCTTTGTTGCAAGGGGATTTTATGTCGCGCTTTCATCACATCGTTCATCATTGGCAAATGAATGAAATATCAATGACAGATAATAACCTTCTTATCACAGTGACCATAAATATGTACATTTTATCGCGTTCATAGGCGCGGAAATCCCTCGAGAATGAATTTTCCTCAATCGTTCGTCTCACGATGAGTAATCTGTGTTTACGAAAATATAAGTGCCAACATCAGCATTTGAGGTCGAGATATTTTTCATAAATTATTGCATAGCATATGGCATTTGATTTATAATTTGATTTATACATGTAAATAAATTTAACGCAATATCTTCGCACTCGAGTGTAATAAAAATATAATAATCGAACGATTATTTGAATAATTTTAGTCTTTTGAACACACATAGTTTCACATTTTCTAAAATAAGCTTCATAAGTAGATGTTACTAAATTTATATAGTTTACTGATTAGAGAATCTTTTGAGTAATTCTTACATTAATTTCTGACTTTTATCTTAATATATCTTTTGATACACTCGACACATTGTTTAAAATGGTAAGAACGATGTCTAAACGATGTATTGAGTAATTACAATTTATATCATATTTTTTTAACATTATTGTTCTTTGATATCAATTATTTAATATTCGATATTAGTTAATACTATTTTTTACTGTCAAAAAACGTGCTTGATTCAAAGACAGAGATTTTGTTGCAAGTTTTAAGCGTGTATCAAATGCAGAAGGTTGACGTAGATTTTAATGGTCCGTTTTGAAAGACAAAGTTTGTTGCAGCGCAATTTTGGAAACAAGTAGGCAGATAAGAGGGGAGAGAGAGAGAGAGAGAGAGAGAGGGAGTGAGAGAGATCAGTAGGGACTCACGGGGCTAAAACAGAATGGCGGGTAGGCTCGATGCACTTGAAACGAAGAGCAGCGTCAAGTATCATTACGCCATTTTTGCTCCCTTGAGTCTTCAAGTTGCAATTAGGAGCTGCAATAGTGAACACTGAGGGACTGCGAGTGAAAGACAGAAAGTAGGCAGATGCTTGCGTCCATACTCTTCCCCGATTTTTTTTTTTTTTTTTTTTTTTTTTTTACGAATGCAAGTTGTCTCTGGCTTCGTTCTCTGTTATTCATGCTAACCCAGTTGCACTTGTACCACTTTCCGGCATCTTTTCGTTTTCTATTTCTGCTGCTTATCGCGTCGCAACACATCGGCGCTGTATAATACGTGTGTATTTGTCGAGTGTACAGAGTCAATTAGTACAGAATATCTTATTCGTAATTATGTTATCGTTAATTGGCGAACGACAGACTGACACGGATGTGGCTGTCCAGAAATTGATTTTCGCAATGGAAATAGAGATTGAATTTTAAAACATTGACAGTGCATGCGTGTATTAGCACTATAAACTGTCGAGGTGATCAAAATGTATATGTAAAATTTATGATTTTTCTTAGAAATTTTGTGGACGTAAAACAGTGTATTTTTGGAGATTTAAATTAGTTTTCGTAAAATATATAAATGAAATTCTTTGTATTATAAAGTTCTTTTATTTTTTTCTTTTTTTTTTTTACTTTGGTGTCCCTAGTGAAAATGCTTTAATCACCAATAGTTGCAGTGTTAATATTGTAATTATCAGAGTAATCAAAATGATTAATTCGTAATTTCTTGTAAAAACTTACAGATTTGTAACGAAGTGTAAAGATTTGAATAATTTTTGAAAGATTTTTTTCATAAAACATGTAAACGACGGTTTTAGTTCTTAAACCTTTTCTTCTACTCTGTGTGTTTTAATTTAATTTTAATCGATAGACATACAGATTGAGACATTTCTAATATGACATAAATTTATTACTCAATCCATCTCTGAGAAATGTCATAGCATATTTATAAAGAAAGTACAGATTTGTGTTTGTTAACTCTTCTTCAGTTTCTACAGTTTCATTACTAAAAGAACTGTATATTGCGCTGTATATATTTGAGAAATAACTGCCAACATCAAACTTATTCACTGTTGTAAATATGAACAGACTATCGGACAAGGTGAATGAAGAAAACCCTGTTCTTTTCTTTGAATAATTAATGACAAAGTCTTTTGCAGCCGGTTTAATAAGTCGTTGGAAGTTCATCATGGTTTGATTTGGTAAGCCACACGAAAAGATAGGTGAAGCTGAACGAGAGACAAAGCTTAGGATAGATCTACAGTCCTTGGAGGGGTTCTAAGTAAACTATGTATAGCCACGGGCGTTTTCTACTAGACAGACGGTTCAAATTAAGGACATTCTTAGCAATTATGTTGTTACTTACCTTTCTACAAATATTATCGTTTAATAAAGTTCAGAGAGTTATGTTTTTGTAGTGTAGCGGAGAAAAATGTCGTTTACTCTTCAGTTGAAGCAATTTCATACAAAGAAAAACAAGATGTACTAATTTGGTTATTTTTGTCAAAAAAAAAAAAACATATAAAAGTGTTGAATATTTTCGTAGAAATATTAGTAATGATTAGACTACGAACTATGCGTTTATGAAAAATTTGAAATTGCATAATTACACGAAAATAGAGTTTTATTTATTGCTACGATAGATGAGACAATTTTTTGTTCAAATTTCATTTCTACAATTATGACTGTAAAAATATAAAAAGCAGTCTAACGATGATATCAACTGTACACGCGCAGTTTTCTTCCTCGGAGCTCTCTATATAAATTAATTTTCCGTAATAGTCAATTAAAAATCTCTCACTAATAAATTGAAATTTCTTTTGTGATTAACTCCCGAATTAATTTTTTTCTATCGTAACGTTTTCATAGGTAAAAGGAACACACACTCCGCGAGAGCTTTCAATTAAAAAATTTCGCATTAATGATAAATCAAAGTTTGTTCCTTCGGTAACTTTCTCTATTATAAAGTTTTTATAAATAAAAAACAGACACACCGTGGCAGTTATCAATTAAAAATTTCTCGTTAATGAAAAATCAAAATTTGTTCCTTCAGTAACTTCCGAATTCACGTTTTCCTGTTGTAAAGAAATTTTTTTTACAAATAAAAAAAAAAAAAAATAAAAGAAAGAAAAACACTCGCTACTAATTGTAGAGTGTTTTGCGTTTTCGGACGGTACGTGTAAAAATTGTTACTCCCAGCGGAGAAGTTCATGTGCATCCGATAACAATCAATCAAAAGAAACAAAAGAAACGTTTACTCGACTGTAGCGACCCTTGCATCCCTCGACAATAAAGGGGTACCGGCAGATACGGGCGCAATATATTCATACAGTCAGGCGCATTATTCTCGCACATGAAAGAAATAAGCGTCTGTAACGGATCAGGGCGAAAAGCTTGGAAACGCCACCGGGCGAAAATTTTTTTTCCACCCGGGCTTCAGGCTTTTCGATAACTCCTTTTGTTTACCGTTCATTGAATGGCAGTTCGGATAGATGGATTACGTCGTATCCAATCTATATTCAGCTGTATAATTCTCTTCGCTCATTTATAATCTGCGTAAATGCTCAGAATGCTGTCCTTCGAAACGTTGAAACGTGCTCGTTGAATATTTTTGAATGGCCTTTCGAAGATAGCGTATGGTAGATGGAAAATTTTCAGAAACGTACAACGTTTTATATTTTATATACGAATCGTACGGCGTTTCATTTTAATTAAGGTATCGTAATTTCTACAATTTTTGCAAAACAACGCACTCGCGAAGAGAAGAGTGAAACAAGTGTTGATTGTGACGTTCGTCGACGTTGTTCAAAGAGTTGAGAAAACGTGGATTTTATGTATCCTTTTGTGAAAACGTTTCGTTACAAACGATACTGCAGGTTTGGGATAATCTTCGCTTCTGATCTTTTTCTACGCCTACATACGCCTAGAATTCGTGTTCTGGATCCGATTTCTGGAAGGGTCACGATTGATCGTGAGAAAAGTATTTATACCCTGTCAAAGGGTTTCTTTGGATCTTTATCTAGCGATTTGGCGAAAATATGGAGATTACTAGATCGCTTCGTTCGTTGCTTGACCCGTGCGACACCGGGTCAGTCTAAGGGTCGTTGGGAGGCGTAATATTAATACAAGATGCCACGTGTTATTAGACACATGTGTACAATTAATTACAGCAGCGATGTAATCGTGTACGAAGTCAGATAGTTAAATCACATCAGCCGCACGATTTAATAACATTAATTACGTTTACTTTGTAACGAAGCCAATTGCAAAGCTCTCGATGCTCCTCACATTCTTTCGCGTATTCGTCTTTTACAGGCGATCATTTTACTTACGCAAATTCGTATCGCGTAATACATAATCATTTATAAACTCGACCGACAGCGAACGTATGCACGATAGTACGAGGAATGATATTTTATCATTTGCATCAGATAACTCGCGGCGTATCTTTCGCGTATATTTATCTTTCGTAGATAACAATTTTACTTCTGGGATCATCATGCATCATCTATAAGTTTACCTACAAAGATTAATGCCTGTGTTTGTACAACACGCGTACACGTACGTATGTACGTGTTTGTAAGTATCGGTGTCAAGTAGTACATG